ACTTTAAACTTTACTATGAATCAGCAGCTTTCTGCTGGTTGAAAGAATGGTTGCTTCTTGAAAACACTGACATTTTGGATTTAGAAGGTTTTAACAATGTATTTGGATGGCATGCATATCTGTGGTATGATAAGGTCAAAGCACACAAAGCATTTAAAAATCACATCGTCAGGAAAGCATTGTTTAATGTCTGGATAAGATACAAGGACTTATTGGAAAATAAAACTCCAAGGTGGCTGTCACCGATGGAAGCAAAAGCTCTGAAAAAGCTCAATATGGAGGCCAAATGGCCGAAATATTGGGAAATTTTGGAACAAGATGGAGATAGACTGAAATTGCAGAGTTTTGAGAAATTAAAAAACAAAGTGCGAGACTGGCTTCATTATTATCAGATAATGGAGGCATATAATTTTGTCAAAGATGTATAACTTGCTGTTAAAATGGAATACTCAGGATGAAACGGTGAAATCTGTTATGATTAAATGGGCACAAGATGTTGGTCATAACATAATGATGGCTGACTGGGAACAGTTATGGACCACAGGTATGAAGTTTACGGCATGTAATGCCTTAAGAGAGAATATTATGAAAATGATCTACAGGTGGTACATGACCCCAGTCAAGCTTGCAAAAATCTATCATTTGCCTGATAATAAATGTTGGAAATGTAAAGAAACTGAAGGTACATTCTTTCACCTTTGGTGGACGTGCCCAAGGATTAAGGCTTTCTGGGAAATGATATATAATGAACTGAAAAAGATATTTAAATATACCTTCTTGAAGAAACCAGAGGCCTTTCTCCTGGGCATAGTCGGTCAATTGGTGTCAAAGAAGGATAGAACCTTTTTTATGCACGCCACAACAGCAGCAAGAGTACTCATTGCAAAGTATTGGAAGACACAAGATCTACCCACTCTGGAAGAATGGCAGATGAAGTTGATGGACTATATGGAACTGGCAGAAATGACTGGCAGAATCCGAGACCAGGGAAAAGAGTCGGTGGAAGAAGATTGGAAGAAGTTCAAAGATTATCTACAGAAATACTGTAAAATTAATGAATGTTAGAATGATGTTGGATAGAAATTAAGTGGTTTCTAGCTGTAATGCTTTAAGGGAATATGAAAAGGGGTTATTAAGAGGTAAAAATCTAATGTTATTATTTTAAGACCAAAGATTAGGATAAACAAAGAGGGTAAGGATTTGCTGAACCAACAAACTGAACTGGAATACAAAAAAGGGAGGTATGAGGAGGTCCGGGAAACAAGCTAAAGAAAAATAAGCAATGGAAAATCTGAGTGTTTTTAATCATTTTTATTTTGTATTTTTTTTCTTTTTCATTTTTTATTGTAATATTTTAAAAAATCCTAATAAATATCTTATATATATATATATAAAAGATAAGATGCAAGGTGCAACCCACGTTTTGGATAACATCCTAACACTATCCCCATGAATACCTGGTAGCCGTTGAGCCAGTTCTCGAATGTACACTCCGCCCACGGGGACCTATATCTTTTCTTACCATAATACCTCTTTTTCTCCCCTTTTCCTTTTATTTGTGCCGGCGGTAGCAACGTGAACATATCTATGAAATACCCATTCAGAATCTTATCCCTTTTTCTCTTAGAGAGGTGATTACCCAAGATAAAGTCAGTAGACAAGTGAGTTGAAACTTTAACATCTTCCACTAAGGCCCCATCCTTCCATTCAAGGGTACCGTTAAAGGTTTTCCGGTGAGAATTGGCCCTCCTCTCATGCATCCACAAGGGAGCACCAGTCTGTTCGCCCTCCCCGCAGTACGTTTCCATGGGAGCATCACTATCACCCTCTGAAGAAGAGGTACCTGTCTCATCCTCGGAATCAGATGGGTCGCTCCTCCTGCTCTTCTTGGACACGTGCTTCCTCTTCGCTTTACGCTTCCCTCCGCGGGTACTGCTGTCCTGCGGGGCTGGGTCATTGGAAGTTGTAGCCGCCTGCTGGGGGGGGGTAACTCCTCATCAGAGGATGACCCCTCAGAAGGGCTGTGATGAGCCGGAGGATCCTGAAAGACACTAGGAATACCGATTACCTCCTGACTTGAATTAGCCCGGGTGGACCGCAGTGGTTTGGACTTCGACTTCTGTGCACCGGCCCTGTCCTTCTGTGCGCTGGGCTTGGTTTTTTGTGCTCCAGCCTTAGCCTTCTGCGCGGCAGCAGATTGCGAGCGGGTCAGCCGCCGATCGGACGACCCTAGGCCTTGATGCCCCGCCCTGCTAGATGAAGCTGCAGAAGGGCCTGCCCGTTCCTGGTCGTTGGGAGGGGTGTCTGGGATGCAATCCTGAGAAAGCTCCACTATTGAAGCAGACCCCGTCGCTGGAGCACTGCATTGAGCATAAAAGGTTTGAATTGCAGAGAAGAGTTGAGCCAAAGCTTGAGGGTTGCACGGCGCGACGGGCACCAGCGCTGTACCCGCCTGGGATGACTGGGGATTCCCTCTGTTTGCCATGGTATCGCACCTTATTGCGCAGGGATGTATGAATGTAAGAATGTGTATGTATGTATGTAGTTGTCTATTCACTTCTGTAGATTTCTGCTTTTTAAAAAAATTGTTATTAAAACTATTATTATTATTATTAATTTTATTTTATTTTATTTTATTATTGAATTTATTTATTTATTTATTTATTTATTTATTTATATTACTAATATTTATCCTAACCTTATTAATAATTATCTTTTTTTTAATGATATTTACTGAAAATTTTGTCAAATCCAAAAGCTCATGTCCCTGCAGGGCCACAGCTCCCTCCATCTCTGGCGCCCAAGATTCAGCAACATCCTCTTCCCTCATCTGTTCTGTCGGGGCACACTCCTGATTTAATTCCTGGGTGGGCTCCATATAGTTTCCCACTGCCTGTTCAAAATTCTGATCGCATCAGTCATCAAATCCGTCTTCTCATTTAGCTGTTCCAGTAGGGCATTTGTTTTACAGAGAGCACACAACAGAGCTTCTGAATACATTGTCCTACAAGGTCAGAAGTCTATTCCCACGATTGTAATCTGTAACAGCTGCAAGCTCCCTGGAATTGGTTACAATTTCACAGTCTCCCTCTAGGGGGAAAACTTCTATTTGTTCTTTCTTTTAAGGACAAATCTAGCAACAAAGTTTCCTTTTTCAGATATTTTGTCAATATTTGTTCCTTTAAAATGCGAAGGGGAACAGTGGAATCACTATGTTTCTCTTCTTTTAGCTATCTGTCATAAACGTTTGTCTCTGGTCAATGAGCTTCAAAAAATGTCAGTCCTGACACCCCGCTCCAGGATCAAGACGGTGGAAAGTTACTTTACTTTAAACTCACTTCTGCAGGTTTAAACAGTCCGAAAAAGATCCTCCCTCTTCTCCTGCTTCCGAAGGGGGTTCAACAATTTTAAATGATGTAAGTTAATCTTTTAGAAGCGATTTTCTGAGCTCTAGTTTGCCTTGTCTTTGCTTTAATCTATCTACAAAGAAAAGGAAGGCTGACTTCCTGTTTAGACCTTCCCGTTTCAGTGCCAAATTGAAGTAAACTTTTAAGTCCAATTTTCCTTTCTGCTCGCAAGTCCTTATTTAAAGTCCAATTATCCGAAATTTAAGTACTCACGGGTGATTATTTTAGAAGCCAAGTTGTCCCAGGAAAAAGGCAGCGCTCTCCGGCAACGGCTGTGCGGCTTCGCTCCACGGAAGAAGCAGTTGACTCTCAGCACCGCGCCACTTCCCCTCTTCGCTCGGAGCCCATTAGTGGGTTCCTTTGCGGGTTGGGGGGGCGCTAAGGGTGCCCGCCGAGTCCCATGGTCACAGGCTTCATCCGCCTGTGATTTTTGAAAGGGTCCCCGCTTCGCCGTAGCGGAAAAGACCCGTTTCGCGTGGAGCTACTCCCTCCAGATCAGAGGGAGTCCGCCATTGCCGATGGCGCCACCCCGGAAGTCCCCTTATTATTAATAATTATCAATTGTTAATAATGTAACAGAATATTTCAATATCTAAATAGACCGTATCTGTTTATTTGTTGCTGTAAATAACTACTGTTAAAACCGGGGCAATAGGAGGATTAAAAAGCGCAGGCTTCCAATAAATCCAGCAATGAATGCACCAGCCTGAATTACGTCAAAAACTTCCAATGAATTATACCAAGGTACAATGAATTATTTTAAATTAAAACGCAAGGACAAGTTCTTCCTAAGAACCCTGAATGAATTATTAATTTCAGCCAGGGAATGATTTTAAATAAATCCGGCAGCGCTATGAATTGCGGATAAAGCGTAAAGCGCTGGCAGCCTCAAGGCTTCAATTGAAGAGCTGGCAGCCACAAGGCTTCAAGAGTAACCACCAGTGACTTATTGATAAAATGGGTAGCGCGGTGAATTAAATGTAGCAGCCCTTTAGCTACCCAAAGCAACTGTAATCTGCTCTGCAAAGGTAATTTAGTAAGCTAGAATGTAGACTTTACGCAAAGATACAGTAACTCTTAAGGCTGAAAGTAGCAGCAGGTCGCCTGCAGCCAGGCAGATGCCTAACCCAAAATGGCCGCTGCCCCTTGACCACGTGGTCCGCACAAAATGGTGACAACCACGGATGCCCTGTTAGCTTGAAGCGCACACGCGGGGGGTTCGGCTAATGCAGCTTCCAGCTGTTCAAAAGTCCCCCAAAGTAAAGGTACGGCCCACCAGAAGCAATTGTGGTGAATCAAAGCTCCCCGTGCGTGCAGAGCGGCTCCCCCAGCGCACAAAACCCTTCAGTACCAAGCACAGTATGCGCGCAGAGAACCCCCCCAAAGCGGCAAACCCCTGCGCTCACCAGAATAATTCCACGCTAAATTAAGGCTAAGCTACAGGCAAACAAACTAGTGCCGAAAGGGTTTCCAAGATGGTAAAGCAAAGCAAAACAAGGGCACGTCCTTCCCTACCCCCTTGTGATCCGCTTAGCATGCAGAGAACCCGAGCGATTTTATCCCCTCCTCCCAGACAGATGCGCAAAAGGGATTCTAAAAACTTTTGTGAGCGCTGAGGCAGCTCACGACTGGAATCCGACTTCGAGGCCCCAGCAGATGAACCGAAGACGTTACCACAGCGGGGCGACCGGCACAGGGATGGGGCACAAGATCCGTGGTGGTCATCCGCTTCTTGCCGTCCCGAAGGGTGTCGATGCAGCCAAAAGGCGACGCGGCTAACAACGGTAGCCGGATGAGCAGAGTCCCTGCGCTGCGTTCAAAGACCAGGAAACGACGCAAGAGAAAAGCAAACGGGAGGGGAGGAAAGACGGCTGGACGCGCTACGGCACCACTCTAAAGGCGGCTTTTCGCGCTCCAGCAAAGGGAAGGGATAAAATCCGACGCAACTGTGAAATACAGCACCAAGGGAGAAAACACGTGCGGCAAACAATGGAAGAAAAAACAAACTCGCAGCGACGGAAGGCAGCGAAGCAAACCGCAGCTGTTGAGAAGAAAGAAAGGGGCGAGCCAGGGCTGCCCCAACCTTAAGTGCCACCTAGTAAGCCCGCCCCTACTGCCAGGCGATTGGCTGGCCGCTGTGGGTGATGAATAATAATGACCCTGGGAAATCCCTGAGTCCCGCGAGAATGTAGGTGGGGGCTTGAGCCCGCAACCCCCCCCTCCTTATGTCGGGAGTGGGTATGTCAAAGCTAACATTCTTTATCTTATTTCTAAACTCCATAAAGTCCAACCAGGCCTTTTTATATGATCTGAGCGTGGACGGGGCCACCGATGACAAAACTCCCTTCATGACATCTCGTTCCCATGACATCTCGTTCTCCAGGCACAAAAGGACAAAGGACCAGAGCAGGTTAGCCACCCTGGGGGAGCGCGATGACTGCTTTGACAGGACGGTGACAACTGCTTGATTGTCTGTCCAAAAACATACCCGGTGGTTCTTAAACTCCTCCGCCCACACGTGCACCGCTACTATGATAGGGGAAAATTCTAGGAAGGTGAGATCGTGCATGATAGGCTTTCACCGCCAGGCCAGGGGCCAAGGCTGAGCACACCACTGCCCTTTAAAGTAAACGCCAAACCCCAAGGAACCGGCCGTGTCCGACTGCACCTGAAAGTCTGCATGAAGCAACAGATGATCCTGCCACAATGAAATGCCATTGTACTTGTCCAGGAATTTTAACCACACTTCTAGATTCGACTTGACCGCCTTAGAAAGGCGCACTCTGTGTTGGGGCACTCGTAGTCCTGCTGACAACTTTGCCAAGCGCCCACAAAATGGGCAGCCAGGGGATACTACTCGGCAGGCAAAGTTGAGGTGACCCAGAAGCGACTGAATCTGACTCATGGTGACCTTTTTGAGAGGGAGAAGCTGTATGATTAGTTCCTTAAGTGCAGTTAACTTTTCCTTCGGTAAGCGGGATGTCTGTGTGATAATGTCCAATTCTATGCCCAGATAAGTCATGGTTGTGACAGGGCCCTCAGTTTTGTCCGCGGCCAAAGGTACACCGAGCTCCTCAGCCAGGGAGGTGAATGCTTTTAACTGTTGATTAGTCGTGTCCGACTCTTCGTGACCCCATGGACCAGAGCACGCCAGGCACTCCTGTCTTCCACCGCCTCCCGCAGTTTGGTCAGGCTCATGTTTGTAGCTTCAAGAACACTGTCCAACCATCTCGTCCTCTGTCGTCCCCTTCTCCTTGTGCCCTCCATCTTTCCCAACATCAGAGTCTTTTCCAGGGAGTCTTCTGTTCTCATGAGGTGGCCAAAGTATTGGAGCCTCAGCCTCACGATCTGTCCTTCCAGTGAGCACTCAGGGCTGATTTCCTTCAGAATGGATAGGTTTGATCTTCTTGCAGTCCATGGGACTCTCAAGAGTCTCCTCCAGCACCATAATTCAAAAGCATCAATTCTTCGGCGATCAGCCTTCTTGATGGTCCAGCTCTCACTTCCATACATCACTACTGGGAAAACCATGGCTTTAACTATACGGACCTTTGTTGGCAAGGTGATGTCTCTGCTTTTTAAGATGCTGTCTAGGTTTGCCATCGCCTTTCTCCCAAGAAACAGGCGTCTTTTAATTTCATGACTGCTGTCACCATCTGCAGTGATCATGGAGCCCAAAAAAGTAAAATCTCTCACTGCCTCCATTTCTTCCCCTTCTATTTGCCAGGAAGTGATGGGACCAGTGGCCATGATCTTCGTTTTTTGATGTTGAGCTTCAGACCATATTTTGCGCTCTCCTCTTTCCCCCTCATTAAAAGGTTCTTTAATTCCTCCTCACTTTCTGCCATCAAGGTTGTGTCATCTGCATATCTGAGGTTGTTGATATTTCTTCCGGCAATCTTAATTCCGGCTTGGGATTCATCCAGCCCAGCCTTTCGCATGATGAATTCTGCATATAAGTTAAATAAGCAGGGAGACAATATACAGCCTTGCCGTACTCCTTTCCCAATTTTGAACCAATCAGTTGTTCCATATCCAGTTCTAACTGTAGCTTCTTGTCCCACATAGAGATTTCTCAGGAGACAGATGAGGTGATCAGGCACTCCCATTTCTTTAAGAACTTGCCATAGTTTGCTGTGGTCAACACAGTCAAAGGCTTTTGCATAGTCAATGAAGCAGAAGTAGATGTCTTTCTGGAACTCTCTAGCTTTCTCCATAATCCAGCGCATGTTTGCAATTTGGTCTCTGGTTCCTCTGCCCTTTCGAAATCCAGCTTGCACTTCTGGGAATTCTCGGTCCACATACTGCTTAAGCCTGCCTTGTAGTATTTTAAGCATAACCTTGCTAGCGTGTGAAATGAGTGCAATTGTGCGGTAGTTGGAGCATTCTTTGGCGCTGCCCTTCTTTGGGATTGGGATGTAGACTGATCTTCTCCAATCCTCTGGCCACTGCTGAGTTTTATAAATTTGCTGGCATATTGAGTGTAGCACCTTGACAGCATCATCGTTTAAAATTTTAAATAGTTCAGCTGGAATATCATCACTTCCACTGGCCTTGTTATTTGCAGTGCTTTCTAAGGCCCATTTGACTTCACTCTCCAGGATGTCTTGCTCAAGGTCAGCAACCACACTACCTGGGGTGTACGAGACATCTGTATGTTTCTGGTATAATTCCTCTGTATATTCTTGCCACCTCTTCTTGATGTCTTCTGCTTCTGTTAGGTCCTTACCACTTTTGTCTTTTATTATGGTAATCTTTGTACGAAATGTTCCTTTCATATCTCCAATTTTCTTGAACAGATCTCTGGTTTTTCCCATTCTATTGTTTTCCTCTATTTCTTTGCATTGCTCGTTTAAGAAGGACTTCTTGTCTCTCCTTGCTATTTTTTGGAAATCTGCATTCAATTTCCTGTATCTTTTAGTATCTCCCTCGCATTTTGCTTGCCTTCTCTCCCCCGCTATTTGTAAGGCCTCGTTGGACAGCCACTTTGCTTTCTTTCATTTCCTTTTAATTGGGATGGTTTTAGTTGCTGCCTCCTGTATAATGTTACGAACCTCCATCCATAGTTCTTCAGGCACTCTGTCCAGGAAATCTAAATCCTTAAACCTGTTCCTCACTTCCACTGTGTATTCATAAGGGATTTGACTTAGATTGTATCTTACCGGCCCAGTGGTTTTCTTCAGTTTAAGCTTGAATTTTGCTATAAGAAGCTGATGATCTGAGCCACAGTCAGCTCCAGGTCTTGTTTTTGCTGACTGTATAGAGCTTCTCCATCTTTGGCTGCAGAGAATATAATCAATCTGATTTCGATGCTGCCCATCTGGTGATGTCCATGTGTAGAGTCGTTGGAAAAGCGTGTTTGTGATGACCAGCTTGTTCTCTTGGCAGAACTCTATTAGCCTTTGCCCTGCTTCGTTTTGAATTCCAAGGCCAAACTTGCCAGTTGTTCCTTTTATCTCTTGACTCCCTACTTTAGCATTCCAATCCCCTATTGTCAGAGGCTTAGTGCTGTCCAGCTGGCAATAGATAAGACTCCGGGCTCCCAGCCAGTTCCAAACAATTGATTTATTTGACAAAGTTCAAACGTACATCTCCAGCGTTTCCATTAGCCTCCTTCCCCTTGTGCGCAGTTGCTCCCTCTAATCTTACGTCCTCCTTTTCCGCACCCAGCATGCAATTCTGCGAAAACTCTTCCCCTTACTTCCTTGGTGTACAGCCTGACTTGTCCCAGGCTCATCCTCCTCCCCCTCTACGTCAGACTGACTGTCAGACGACAAGCTGCTGATAATCTCTTTAGGCTCTCTATAACTGCTGGTTTCTGTCCTTTCTTCTTTTCCCGTTTGCCTCTCCCTGACATCCACCCCCTCCTCAAAGGCCCCCTCCCGCTCAGGAGACCCGACTACGTCCCCTTCTCTTTCCTGAGAGGTGGTCGGGGAGAACCCCCCAAAACTACCCTCTTCCTCATCCGTCTCTTCGAACACACTCCTCCAACCCCCAAGTCCTGGTGTTCCCCAGTCTACGCCTTCGTCTTCTTCCTCCTCCTCATCCGATGCTGGGAAACCTTCGAATTCCTCTTCGTCATCTGTTGTTTCGAACACCTCTTGTAAGGACCTCACCTTGCCTTTTGGTTTGTCCGGGAAGAAATTGTGGAACTCCTCTACCAGCTCACTGTTAGACATACTATCTTCCGGGACCCAGGTATTCTCCGATGCCGGGGCCCCTTCCCAAGCCACCAAATATTCCACATTCCCCCCTCTCCAACGAGCGTCCAGTATTTAGAATCATAGAATCATAGAGCTGGAAGAGACCACAAGGGCCATCGAGTCCAACCCCCTGCCAAGCAGGTAACACCATCAGAGCACTCCTGACATATGGTTGTCAAGCCTCTGCTTAAAGACCTCCAAAGAAGGAGACTCCACCACACTCCTTGGCAGCAAATTCCACTGTCGAACAGCTCTTACTGTCAGGAAGTTCTTCCTAATGTTTAGGTGGAATCTTCTTTCTTGTAGTTTGGATCCATTGCTCCGTGTCCGCTTCTCTGGAGCAGCAGAAAACAACCTTTCTCCCTCCTCTATGTGACATCCTTTTATATATTTGAACATGGCTATCATATCACCCCTTAACCTCCTCTTCTCCAGGCTAAACATGCCCAGCTCCCTTAGCCGTTCCTCATAAGGCATCGTTTCCAGGCCTTTGACCATTTTGGTTGCCCTCCTCTGGACACGTTCCAGTTTGTCAGTGTCCTTCTTGAACTGTGGTGCCCAGAACTGGACACAGTACTCCAGGTGAGGTCTGACCAGAGCAGAATACAGTGGCACTATTACTTCCCTTGATCTAGATGCTATACTCCTATTGATGCAGCCCAGAATTGCATTGGCTTTTTAGCTGCCGCGTCACACTGTTGGCTCATGTCAAGTTTGTGGTCAACCAAGACTCCTAGATCCTTTTCACATGTACTGCTCTCGAGCCAGGTGTCACCCATCTTGTATTTGTGCCTCTCATTTTTTTTGCCCAAGTGCAATACTTTACATTTCTCCCTGTTAAAATTCATCATGTTTGTTTTGGCCCAGTTCTCTAATCTGTCAAGGTCGTTTTGAAGTGTGATCCTGTCCTCTGGGGTGTTAGCCACCCTCCCAGTTTGGTGTCATCTGCAAATTTGATCAGGATGCCCTTGAGTCCATCATCCAAGTCGTTGATAAAGATGTTGAATAAGACCGGGCCCAAGACAGAACCCTGTGGCACCCCACTAGTCACTCTTCTCCAGGATGAAGAGGAACCATTGATGAGCACCCTTTGGGTTCGGTCAGTCAGCCAGTTACAAATCCACTGAGTGGTAGCATAGTCAAGACCACATTTTACCAGCTTCTTTACAAGAATATCATGGGGCACCTTGTCAAATGCCTTGCTGAAATCAAGGTAGGCTACATCCACTGCGTTCCCTTCATCTACCAGGCTTGTAATTCTGTCAAAAAACGAGATCAGGTTAGTCTGACATGACTTCTTTTTCAGAAATCCATGCTGACTATTGGTGATCACAGCATTCCTTTCTAGGTGCTCACAGACTGTTTGCTTAATGATCTGCTCCAGAATCTTCCCTGGTATTGATGTCAGACTGACTGGGCGGTAATTATTTGGGTCCTCTCTTTTCCCCTTTTTGAAAATAGGGACAACATTTGCCCTCCTCCAGTCTGCCGGGACTTCGCCTGTTCTCCAGGAATTCTCAAAGATGACTGTCAGTGGTTCTGAGATCACATCTGCCAGTTCTTTTAATACTCTTGGATGCAGTTCATCTGGCCCTGGAGACTTGAATACATCTAAACTAGCCAAGTATTCTTGTACTATCTCCTTAGTTATTCTGGGCTGTGTTTCCTCTGCTGAATCATTTGCTCCAAATTCTTCAGGTCGGGCATTGTTTTCTTTATCGGAGAAGACTGAGGCAAAGAAGGCATTGAGGAGTTCAGCCCTTTCTGTGTCCCCTGTTTGCATTTCACCATCTTCTCCTCTGAGTGACCCCACTGTTTCTTTGTTCTTCCTTTTGCTACGAACATACCCATAAAAGCCTTTTTGTTGCTTGCTTAACCTCTCTAGCAAGCCTGAGTTCATTCTGTGCTTTAGCTTTTCTGACTTTGTGTCTACACGTGCTGGCTATTTGTTTGAATTCCTCTTTGGTGGTTTCCCCCTTTTCCATTTTTGTACACATCCTTTTTTAATCTTAACTCAGTTAAAAGTTCTTTAGATAGCCACCCTGGCTTCTTTAGGCACCTTCCATGTTTCCATCTCATTGGTATTGCCTGACGTTGTGCTTTTAGTATCTCCCTCTTAACAAACTCCCAGCCATCATGAACTCCCTTTCCTTTTAGTATTACTGTCCATGGGATCTCACCCAGCACTTCCCTAAGTTTTATGAAGTCGGCTTTCTTAAAGTCAAGAAATTGAGTCCTAGTATGCTTGGCTGCTCCTTTCCGCTGTATAGTAAACTTCAGAAGAGCATGATCACTCGCGCCTAATGATCCTTCCACTTCTACCCCACTAACCAGGTCATCAACATTGGTTAGGACCAGATCTAAAATGGCTGTTCCTCTTGTTGCTTCTCCCACTTTCTGGGCAATGAAGTTGTCTGCAAGGCCAGTGAGGAATCTGTTTGACCTTATGCTCTTGGCTGAGTTTGACATCCAACAAATATCCGGGTAATTGAAGTCCCCATTACTACTATCTCCTTCCTTTTGCATGCTTGGCCATCTGTTCCAGGAAGGCATCATCTATGTCCTCCATTTGGCTTGGGGATCTATAGTAAACTCCCACAATGAGGTCACTGTTATTCTTCTCTCCCTTAATTTTGACCCAAATGCTCTCACTTTGGCTTTGAGGTTCTAAATCTTGGATCTCTTCACAGGTATACACATCCCTGACATATAACGCCACTCCTCCTCCTTTCTTGTCTGGTCTGTTTCTCTGAAATAGATTGTATCCCTCCATTATTACATTCCAATCGTGGGACTTATCCCACCAGGTTTCAGTGATGCCTATTATGTCATATTTAGTTTGCTGTACCAAGAGCTCAAGCTCATCTTGTTTATTTCCCATGCTTTGCGCATTAGTGTACAGACATTGAAGTCCATTAATCATTCCACCGTGACTCTTATTTAAGGATTTTTTCCTCCTACCACTAGGTCTGCGTGCTGTTTGCTCCATTTGGTCTATGACATTTGGATGATCATCTTCATCAATTGATAGACTCCTACCTTCAGGAGCACTGTCTCCCTCCCCAAATTAGTCAGTTTAAAGCCCTCCTGATGAGGTTTCTGAGATTTTTGGCAAAAACATTTCTCCCAACCGTTGTGAGGTGCAGCCCATCGCTTGCCAGAAGTCCATCTTCAAGATACTGCAGTCCGTGATCTAAGAATCCAAACCGTTCCTGTTTACACCATTTGCGAAGCCAGCTGTTCACTTCCACTATTTTTCCCTCTCTCCCTGGGCCACGTCGTTCAACTGGGAGGACAGATGAGATGACAATTTGTGCATTTAATTGCTTCAGTTTCCTGCCCAGAGCCTCGTAGTCTCTTTTGATCTTCTGGAGGCTATTGCTTGCAGTGTCATTGGTTCCCACATGAACCAAGAGGAAGGGGTATTTGTCAGTGGGTTTTATGATTCCTTGCAGTCGTTCAGTTACGTCTTGGATCTTATTTTTTTTTTTTTAATAATTTTTTATTAAGGTTTTAAACAAAGAAAAAAGAAAAACAACACACACAAATAAAAACAATACAAAACTTAACAATAAAAACACAAAACATAACAATTAAAAACAAACTCTCTTTTCCATTCCCAATTTTAAATTACTTATTTTCTGGACTTCCTCATACCTCCCTCTTTTGTATTCCAATCCACATTATTTGTCCAGCAGTTTCTTTTCCACTTTTTAATCCCAATCTTTAATTTAATAAAATGTTAAAATATATAACTTCAACTTTTTTAAACCTAATCCTTGCTCTTAATGTCATATAGCTTTAAATTTTTCCCTTTTATTATCAAATTTCCATTTCTTTAAACATCTTTAATCTTAATCTTTAATCTTAATCTATCCTTAACTTTAACCTGTACAGCTGGAAACCACTTATTTTCAATCCAACATCACTCTAACATTCCTTAATTTTGCAGTGTTTCTGAAGATAGTCTTTGAATTTCTTCCAGTCTTCCTCCATCGACTCTTCTCCCTGGTCACGGATTCTGCCAGTCATTTCCGCCAATTCCATATAGTCCATAAGTTTCATCTGCCATTCCTCCAGCGTGGGAAGTTCTTGTGTCTTCCAATACTTTGCGATGAGTATTCTTGCTGCTGTTGTTGCATACATAAAGAAAGTTCTATCCTTTTTAACACCATTTGGCCCACTATGCCCAGGAGAAAGGCCTCTGGTTTCTTAGGAAAGGTATACTTAAATACCTTTTTTAATTCATTATATATCTTTTCCCAGAAAGCCTTAATCTTTGGGCACGTCCACCAAAGGTGAAAAATGTACCTTCAGTTTCTTTACATTTCCAACATTTGTTATCGGGCAAGTGATAGATTTTCGCAAGCTTGACTGGGGTTATGTACCACCTGTATATCATTTTCATAATATTCTCTCTTAAGGCATTACATGCCGTAAATTTCATACCTGTGGTCCATAACTGTTCCCAGTCAGCAAACATAATGTTATGTCCAACATCCTGTGCCCATTTAATCATAGCCGATTTTACCGTTTCATCCTGAGTATTCCACTTCAGCAGCAAGTTATACATTCTTGACAAATTCTTAGTTTTGGGTTCTAACAATTCTGTTTCTAATTTGGATCTTTCCACCTGGAAGCCAATTTTCCTGTCCAATTTAAATGCCTCCATTATCTGATAATAATGAAGCCAGTCTCGCACTTTGTTTTTTAGTTTTTCAAAACTCTGCAATTTCAGTCTATCTCCGTCTTGTTCCAAAATTTCCCAATATTTCGGCCATTTGACCTCCATATTGACCTTTTCAAGGCTTTCGCTTCCATTGGTGACAGCCACCTTGGGGTTTTGTTTTCTAACAAATCCTTATATCTTAACCAAACATTGAATAGCGCTTTCCTGACAATGTGGTTTTTAAATGCTTTATGTGCTTTGACCTTATCATACCATAGATATGCATGCCATCCAAATACATTATTGAAACCTTCCAAGTCCAAAATGTCAGTGTTTTCAAGAAGTAGCCATTCTTTCAACCAGCAAAAAGCTGCTGATTCATAATAAAGTTTAAGGTCTGGCAGGGCAAATCCACCTCTTTCCTTTGCATCTGTTAGTATTTTAAATTTTATTCTAGGCTTCTTGCCCTGCCAGACAAATTTAGAGATATCTTTCTGCCACCTCTTGAAACAATCCATTTTGTCCACGATCTGCAAAGTTTGAAACAAGAACAACATTCTAGGCAATACATTCATCTTTATCGCAGCAATACGGCCTAGCAGTGAAAGCTTCAAATTTGACCAAATTTCTAAATCTTTTTTCACTTCTGACCAACATTTTTCATAATTATCTTTAAATAAATTCCCATTTTTTGCTGTCATGTTAATCCCCAGGTATTTAACTTAACCACTGTTAAACCTGTCTCATTCTGAAACCTCTCTCTTTCAAACGGTGTTAAATTTTTCTCTAGAACCTTGGTTTTTGACTTGTTCAATTTAAATCCTGCCACTTGACCAAATTCTTGAATCAGTTCTAAAACCCTTTTTGTACTAGATTCTGGCTCCTGTAACGTCAATACTAAGTCATCTGCAAATGCTCTCAATTTATAATGTTTAATTCCGACCTGTATACCTTTAACCATCTGGTCCCTTCTAATCATATTCAGCAGAACCTCCAGGACCGAAATAAAAAGAAGTGGGGAAATTGGGCAACCTTGTCGTGTCCCTTTTTCAATTTTAAGTTCTTCCGTAACAACATTATTTACAATTAGTTTAGCCTTTTGTTCTGAATAAATTGCACTTATACCATTCTCAAAACCTTGGCCTACCCCCATACCCTGAAGATTCTTCTTCATAAAATTCCAAGAAATATTGTCAAAGGCTTTCTCCGCGTCTACAAATATCAACACTGCTTTAGTGTTAATATTCACTTCTAATTTTTCCAGGATATCAATTATATTCCTCAAATTATCAGACAAATGTCTTCCTGGGAGAAAGCCCGCTTGGTCTTTATGAATCTCTTCCAACAGCACTTTCTTAAATCTCTTCGCCAAAATATCTGCAAAAATTTTATAATCCACATTAAGTAATGATATAGGGCGGTAGTTCTTAAGTTGTGTCTTTTCAGTCTCTGTTTTTGGTACAAGTGTAATGTACGCTTCTTTCCACGACTCTGGTGCCCTCTTCCCCTCCATAATTTCGTTACAGACCTCTTTCAATGGTTGAATTAACCATTCTTTTAAAGATCTATAGTATCTAGAGGTCAAGCCGTCTGGTCCTGGAGATTTACCCAGTTGCATATTTTGAATGGCACCTTCTATTTCCTGTTCAGTTATTCTGTCGTTCAAAATTAGTCTCTTTTCTTGAGATATTTTTGTAGTCCATTTGTTTTCAAAAATTGGTCTAAATCTGTTTCTTTCACTGGCCCTTGAGTATATAGTCTTTTAAAATACTTCTGGAAACAACTTCTAATCTCTGCAGGGTTCTGTATATTCCTTCCTTCCACTTCTAGATTCGTAATCGTATTTAATTTTTGTCTCTTTTTCATTTGCCATGCCAACAATTTACCACATTTATTAGCCGATTCAAAAGTCTTTTGTCTCATTTGTTTAATCTTCCATTCTATTTCCTGATTCATTATTTTCATATATTGTACTTGATGTAACTTTAACTCTCTCAGAATCTCTTGAGATTTGGGATTTACTCGCAGTCTTTTTTCACATTCATTCATTTTATTCATAATTTTATCCTTCTTTTCATTTTGAGTTTTTTTCTTTATCGCATTCTGTTGTATTAAGAACCCTCTCATAACAGCTTTACTTGCGTCCCAGATTACTCTTTTCTCCACGTTAGAACTGAGATTTATCTCAAAGTAATCTTTTAGAGTTTTTTGGGCCTTCTTAAGAAATTCTTCATCTCTAAATAAGGTGTCATTCATCTTCCATCTGAAGGAGCCAGTTGGTGTTAGTCTCATTTCCATCTTAACAGCATTATGGTCGGAGCAAATTTTCGGGCAGATTTCCACCTTTCTTGTCTTTGGTGCCATTCCTCTAGTTATCCAAATTTGGTCAATTCTTGTCCAAGTCATTTTGGCTTCAGAAAAGAAAGTTCCCTCTTTGCCAAGGGGTTTCTAATTCTCCAAATATCCACTAAGTCCAAGTTGTCTGTCATGTCAAAAGGTTTCCGGTAGTCTACCATCTTTGGTGACTACCTGTCTTTGTGCCTTGTCCATATAAGTAGATACCACTCCATTCATATCTCCCATCAAAATCATGTTGTAATCCATATGGTCCATCAAGGTCTCATGCAACTTCTTAAAGAAATCAGATTTCCCATCATTTGGTGCGTAAACTCCTACAATCAAAAATTTTTCTCCTTGTGTTTGAATTTCAATTGCCACAAATCTTCCTTGGTCATCCTTAAAAACAAATTTTGGTGATAAATTATCTTTTGCGTAAATCACAACCCCTCTCTTTTTAACTTTATCTGACGAAATAAATTCCTGACCAAGTCTTTTATTTATCAACAATTTCCTGTGTAATCTTGTTATGTGTGTTTCTTGTAAACAAATTAGGTCCAATTGTTCCTTTTTTAATATATGAAATACTGACTTCCTCTTCTGAGGGGAATTCAGACCCCGACAGTTCCATGTTAAAAGTTGCAGGGCCATGATGTTATTGTTTTAGTTCTCCTCCTACTGCACCTAGTGCCTGTTCCTCATCCGTCGGTGGTATCCCTTCTTTCGAAAGGTCTTTTGGTTCCGGAGATAGTTCTTTTTGTAGGTCTTCTCCGTGGTCTCTACAAAATTTGTCTTTGTCATCTTCTGATCTTATTTTCCTCTTCTTTCCTTTGTAGCTAAAAGACAGGCCTTGAGGAAGTTCCCACCTGAAATTGATATTGTTCCTTCTCAGCAGGATAACCAAGTCTTTATATTTTGATCTGAGATCCAGAAGATATTTCGGAATATCTTTGAATATTTCCACCCTTGTCCGATGGATTTCCAGTGCCTTCTTAAAATGTAGGCCCAAAATCTTATCTCTCTCTTCTTTTGTTCGAAAAGTAATCAGACAGTCTCTCACCTTCTTCTCTCCTCTTCTCCCGAGTCTAAAGGCATTTACTATTCTGAAACTGTCTTTTACCAATTCTGGATCCCAAAAGTCCAAGAATTCCTGCGTGAGAAATTCAGCTAGATTGTCCTTTTCCACCTCAGGTACCGATCTGACCCGAAGGTTCACTTGCTTCTCCTTCAAATCTATCATAGACAGAGTTAGTTTGTGGTCTTCCAATTGTTTATGCAGTGTTGGTAATTCCTCTTGAACCTCTTTAACTTCCGTAGCAGAAGTTGTAGCAATTTCTTTAGCCTCTTCAGCAATCTGGCGAATTGAGGCCGATTCCTCTAATAATTTCTGAATAGTCTCTGTGTTAGTATTTACTTTTTGGCCCAAATTATTTATACTTACTGTATTCTGGTTAGTACTTGCTGTATTCTGGTTAATACTTGCTGTATTCTGGTTAATACTTGCTGTATTCTGGTTAATACTTAATGTATTTTGGTCAATCTTTTCAGAAGCCTCTGCTACTTGTTGACTTATTTTATTCAAAGATTCATTAACTTTGGCCAAAACATGAGCAAAGGCTTCTTCACTTGTCGTACTTTTTACCTTTAATTGTGCCGATGAGGTTGTTAATGAGGTTCCAGAGGGGCCTGAGGCCGAAGCTCTCCTTTGTAATCCTTCTTCTGTGCGAAGAATCTTCCCAGATCTTGTGGTCAAAGCATCCGCCTTCTCTTTCCCCTCTGCCATTCCTTAGATAACGCCAAGGTCAGTCACATATTTGAAGTTAAACAGTGGAAATTTCCTACCAAGCAGTGTGAGAACTCCTCAAGTCTGCTACAGTTTCAATTGTAACAAATTGTAACAGTTCCAAGTTCCACTAGGGGGACACTGTAACAGTCATAAAAGTTCTTGGATACTTTAATTCCTTTTTTTTTCAAGCCCCCCTAGTTTATTCAGGACGAAAACAGTCTATTCAGAATTTTTAACTTAAGACCAGGAGATATATATTCACATAAATTGTCCAAACTTTTATTTCTTGTGCTGGACTAGCTGTCAAAATATATTGCAAGACAGTACCTCTCTTTCTTTCCTGAGATCTGGAGATCCTTTCCCAGGGAGTTGAGTGGTGGTTCAATCCCTTCTTTTCCACCCTTTGTGAAGAAATCACATCCACAATTCTCCCCCTTTTCCCTCAATTTGAAAAGGGAAAAGTCCAGGTTAGATGATTGGATTAAAGTCCGCTAAAACGTACTTTCCAGTTGCTTCCGCTTTCAAGTTCAATGCTTTATTTTATCTACAAATAAAGAGGCTGACTTCCTTTTTAAGCCTCTTTCCGTTTTCGGCCAGATTCCAGTTTTATACAGTTCCAATTTAAATTGTATCCTACTCACGGATCATTGATTTTCAGGTCCGGATTTTAAGGAAGAAAGGCAGCGCTCTCCGATCAACAGCTTGCGGCTTCACACCACGAACGAGCAGACAGCCCACAGCACAGCGCTCTCCCCGCTCCGCTTCAAAGCCTGTTGCCGGGCTTCCTACTGGGTTGGGGAGGGCGCCAAATGTGCCCGCTGGGTCCCAGGCTCACAGGCTTCTCCCGCCTGTGATTTTTAGGGGTCCCCCGCTAAGCCGAAAGCGGGATCCGACCCTTAATTCGTAGTGAGATTTCCTCCGGTGGAGGAAATCCGCCATTAATCGCTGGCGCCGCCTCCGGAAGACCTCCAGTTACGTCTTGGATCTTAGCCCCAGGGAGACAGCACACTTCCCGAGACATCTTGTCAGGCCCACAGATCACTGCTTCTGTTCCCCTCAGTAGGGAATCCCCTATCACCACTACACGCCTCCTCTTAGGTTTGGTCGGGGTCCTTCCGTGAGCTGTCCGTTCCAAGGTCGCCTGCACATTCCCTGAGGACTGACATTTCTGTGACCTCGTTGCACTGCTCCCTTTCCTCCATTTCGGATGGTGAGCCTTCCCCTCCCCCACTACCCTGTCTCCTTCCCCCCTCCCTGTAGGGGAACAGCAGTGACCTATGGAACACTGGATGGATTCTCATGCTTTCTGGCAACCTGAGCTTAAACGCCACCGGATTTATTTGCTGGATAACCTCAAAGGGCCCCACCTTCCTGGGCTTGAGTTTCTTACAGCCCCCTTACCAAGGCAATCCCTGCGTGGACAACCGCACCTTGTCCCCAATCCTGATGACCTCCTCTGATCGCCGATGTTTGTCGGCTTCCTTCTTGTATAACTCCTTAGCCCTTTCCAAATTTAACTGCAGCTGTCTGTGGATCGCTTCCATTTCCTCCACAAACTGTTCGGCCGCTGGAACACTCCACGACTCCTCCCCCCTCCTGGGGAAGGCCCTTGGATGCAGCCCATGATTGGCAAAGAACGGTGTCATCCCTGTGGATACATTCTCCGCGTTGTTGTAAGCAAACTCTGCCAGGGCTAGTTTGTCCACCCAATCGTTCTGCTTCTGACTTACGTAACACCTCAAATACTGTTGTAAAACAGCAGTCGCCCTCTCCGCTTCCCCGTTGGTCTCGGGGTGTCTCACCGTTGTAAAGCTCACTTCCACCTGGAGCAGCCCCATGAGCTTGCTCCAAAATCGTGAGGTAAATTGAGCCCCCCGGTCCGACACCACCCTTGCAGGTACCCCATGTAACCTAAACACGTGCTCTACGAACAGCCTAGCTGTTTCCTCCGCCGTTACGGCGTGCGAACAGGGCACGAAATGGCACATTTTGGTCAAGTGATCAACCACCACCATGACCGCTGTCTTCCCCTTACATCTGGGCAGATCAGTGATAAAATCTACACCCACCACCTCCCACGGCTTCCCAGGTGTGGGCAATGGTTCCAGCAACCCCGCTGGTGCCGCCCTTTCCCCTTTAGCCCTCTGACATGTGTCACATCCTCGCACATATTCCTTTACATCCTCTCTCACCCTTGGCCACCAAAATTCCCTCGTGACCAGTAGCATGGTCTTATGCTGTCCAAAATGCCCCGCCGTACAACTGTCATGGAGTTGCTTGAGGATTCGGCCCCGAAGGTTTTCTCCTGGAACATACAAGGCCCCTTTGTGGTACAGTAACCCCCCTTTCACCTCAAAACCACCCTCGGCACCCCCTCTTCCTCTTAACTCCCCCATCTTTTGTCTGGCAAAGGCATCGTCTCTGAGCATTTGCATCAGTTCGTCGTCCTTGACCAACGTCCCCCCGCACAACCATTTGCTCTCCGGGAACATCAGTCTTGCTACAGGTGGCCCTTCCCCCATCATATACTCGGGTTTCCGGGAGAGCGCATCCGCCCTCGCATTCTGCTCTCCCGGCACGTATTGGATCTTGAAGTTGAAGTTGGCAAAGAACTCTGCCCATCTTATCTGTCTCTGGCACAACACCCGTGCCATACGCCAATACTCCAAGTTTTTGTGGTCAGTGCACACCAAAATTTGGTGCTTTGCCCCAACCAGGAAGTGCCGCCATTGTTTAAAAGCAGCCACGATCAAAAGCAATTCCTTATCGTAGATGGTGTAGTTCTGCTCTGATTTGTTGAGCTTCCGCGAAAAGAAGGCACACGGACGCCATTCCCCTTTTTGATCTGGCTGCAGCAGCACCGTCCCTATCGCCCGATCCGACGCATCTGTTTCCACCCGTAGTGGTTGAGCCGGGTCGACGTGGATCAGTTGCTCCTCTGAAGCGAAAGCCCTCTTTAGTTTCTCAAACCCCTCTTGGGCTGCCTGCGTCCACTGAAACTTCTTCTTAACACTGAGACAGTCCGTGATTGGCACCGTCAATTCTGCGAAATTCTTTATGAATTTCCTGTAGAAATTGCTGAAACCCAGGAAACGCTGAACATCTTTCCTGGTTTTGGGACTCTCCCATTCCACCACTGCCTTCACCTTCCCCGGGTCCATGGCCAACCCCTGGTCCGACAGCCGATACCCCAGGAATTCGACTTGCTTTGCGTGGAACTGACACTTCTCCAGCTTGACCCACAAGCGGTTCTCCTTGAGTTTGCTCAGGACCTGACGTACATCCTTCACGTGCTGTTGTTCGTCTTCCGAGAACACAAGAAGATCATCTAAAAAGCAGACGCAGTTTTTGTAGAGCAAGGGTCCTAACACGTGGTGCATGAAGGCTTGGAAACAGTGACTTCCGCACTGCAAACCGAAGGGCATGACTAAATACTCAAACGCCCCCATCGGGGTGAACATGGTGGTCTTCCACTCATCGCCTTCTCATACTCTGATAAGGTTGTAAGCCCCTCGGAGATCCAGTTTCGTGAAAATCTTCCCCTTCCGCACCCGTGCCAAAACGTCGTCGATTCTCGGCATCGGGAAGGCCACCGGTTCCGTCTGGCTATTCAAAATTCTAAAGTCCACCACTAGGCGTCGCTCTTTCATCAATCTCTTGTCGACGAAAAACACGGGACTCCCGCCTGCAGCCTTGGACTCCCTGATAAAACCCCTTCTCGAGTTTTTCTCAATAAACTCTTTTAGGTCCTTGAGCTCTCCCTCCGACATGGAATAGGTTTTCCCCACCGGCAACGTGGCCCCTGGTACCAGGTTGATCTGACAGTCATACGGCCGATGGGGTGGCAACGCATCCGCCTCTTTCTCGCTGAACACCTCCTGTAGATCCCTGTAACACGACGGAATCTCACTCGTCCCCGCTCTGCATGCTGCTGCCCTACTGCTCTCACTTTGTTGATCTAGCCCTTGGGCTAGGCAGTTCTCCATGCAGTGCGTCGAGCCAAACGTCAGGGACCGTTGGTGCCAGGAAACCATCGGATCATGCAAAGCCAGCCAGCTCATGCCCAATATGACAGGCGGCCCCGCCAGTGTGGCCACGTGAAAAGCGATGGCCTCAGAGTGGGTGGCCACACGCATTCGCATTGGGGGTGTTCGATGCGTCACTTCACCCCCCAGCAGTTCTCTTCCATCAATTGTTGTCACTTGCAGCGGAAAATCCAAAGGCCTCAGGTTCAGTTGGTGTCGCACCGCAAACTCCTTGCTGCAAAAGGATGCTGAGGCTCCAGAATCAATTAGCGCCAACTCCTCCACCGTCTGTCCATTTGGGAGTTCTAGCACCACCTTCAACATTATGCTTGCTTTGAGGTGTTCAAGCCGGGGACTTTCTGTGTTGCTCCCGCCTGGCTGTTGCCCCGGTTCCCCACCAGCCAGGCCTCTTCATTTCCCGAATGCTGGGGCTCCTCTTCCTCTGCCTGCTGGGTGGCCCCCACCATTCCCTGCCAGTTACGACGCTCTGGGCACACTCTGGCAAAGTGCCCAGTCTTCTGACACACAAAACATCCTTTTCCCGCTTGCCAGTCTTTTTTTTCCTTCCCGCCAGACCGTTGGGCTTTCAAACTCTCCCGCGCACTGGCTGTGCCTATCTCCATAGGCTCTGGCGCTTGTTGACATTCCGAGGCAGCTGCAGGCATCTCAAGAATGCGGTCACCATGGAAACTCCGCTCTCTGCCTTGCTTCCTTTCCCTCCATCTGGCTTCTTGTCTCAAACCCACCCCAAGAGCAGCCTTTGTTAATTCGTCCATATTCTTAGGTCGTGGCCCCCAGCTCGTCCTTAATTTCTGGATTAAGTCCATTTTTAAGTATCGCTTGTACTGGGTCCGCCTCTAAATCTCACCCCAGTTTCTGTACAAGCATAGCAAACTCAGACCAGTAACTGCGTACGGTGGATTTGCCTTGTCTCAAAGCCAGCAGCTCCTCCTGCGTTCTGTCAATTAAACTCTGATCTGCATAGATAAAATCCATTGCTTGCCAAAATTTGGCTTCATTTCTGAGGGCTTCATTCCCCGAGGCTATTAAGGGCCTGATCCAGCTTCGAGCCCCTCCTCCCAGATGTCTTATGATGTGAGCAACCTTTGCTGCATCGTTCTGAAACTTATCTCCTTCCAGTTCCAGAAAATATTTCATCTCTGTTTTGAAATCCAAGTAATTTTCCGTGTCTCCCTGGAACCGTTCCACCCACACGCACCTGCCCCCATCTGCCGATAGCCCACCTTGGGTTCCTCTCTGAGCAGTCCAGGCTTCCTCCAAACGACTCTGCAGGTCTTGGGACCTTTGTTCCAGAGCGACATTGCGCTTTTTCAATTCCAACAGTTCCTTCTCCATGTCGAAGCTGTTTCCTTATTCCACCAGCTTTCCAGCAGAAAAAATAAGATTAGAGGGAGCAAGCTGTCAGAGGCTTAGTGCTGTCCAGCTGGCCATAGATAAGACTCCGGGCTCCCAGCCAGTTCCAAACAATTGATTTATTTGACAAAGTTCAAACGTACATCTCCAGCGTTTCCATTAGCCTCCTTCCCCTTGTGCGCAGTTGCTCCCTCTAATCTTACTTCCTCCTTTTCCGCACCCAGCATGCAGTTCTGCGAAAACTCCTCCCCTTACTTCCTCAGTGTACAGCCTGACTTGTCCCAGGCTCATCCTCCTCCCCCTCTACGTCAGACTGACTGTCAGACAACAAGCTGCTGATAATCTCTTTAGGCTCTCTATAACTGCTGGTTTCTGTCCTTTCTTCTTTTCCCGTTTGCCTCTCCCTGACACCTATAATGAGAAGAACATCCTTCTTTGGTGTCATTTCTATAAGGTGTTGTAAGTCTTCATAGAATTGGTCAATTTCAGTTTCTTCAGCACCAGTGGTTGGTGCATAAACTTGGATTACTGTGATGTTAAAAGGTCTGCCTTGGATTCGTATCGAGATCATTCTATCATTTATGAGATTGCCTCCCAGTACAGCTTTCGCCACTCTTTTGTTGACTATGAGGGCCACTCCATTTCTTTTACGGGATTCTTGCCCACAGTAGTGGATGTGATGGTCATCCGAACTTACGATGGGAATTAGCCCTCCTCTCATGTACCCATAATGGAAGCCTGGAACTTTTCTTCCCAAAGCCCCAGTACCCATCCAAAGGGGTGTCGCTATCCGAATCTGATGAAGTACCTGATTCATCCTCGGTGTCGGAAGGCTTACTTTTCTTATTCGTCTTTAATGTGTGCTTCTTCTTCGCCTTTCTCTTTTCCCCCGTCCATCACTGGTGGCCGGGATCTGGTTGGCAGCTGTGGGCGTTCCTTGTTGTACCTGCACCTCCTCCTCTGAAGAGGTTCCTGATCCACCTTCTGTGGGTGTAGGCTGAAGTAGTGGCTCCTGGAATATACTAGGAACATCTACGACCTGCTGTGAATTAGAACTGTTAGGCCTACCAGAAGGAGCCTTGCCACCCGCGGAACCAGATTTGGACTTTTGGGCATGCGAAGACTGTGAACGTGTGTGGGGGCAGTTAGATGTGCTGCTTCTGGGCTGTGCAGCACTGGAGTAAGAAGCTGAAGTGCCGGGGCTCTCCTGGTTGCTGGGGAGGGTGTTTGGGATGCAATCCTGAGAACCCGCTAATGCTGCAGGGGACCTAGTGACCATTGGCCTACACTGTTGATAGAATGTTTCGAAAGCAGAGAAAAACTGAGCAAAGGCCTGAGGGTTGCATGGCATCGCAGGCATTTGAGACCCGCCTTGCGTGCCAGACCCACCTCCGTTGTGAGAGGGTGCCTGTTGACTTCCCCTGAAAGCCATACCACACACAGCCCCCTGCTTGAAAACCACGATATATCTGGGCGTGATACCTAGTTCAGTATTGCCCTCCCTGCCCTTGAGCAAGGCCCTGTAGATCTGTCCAACCTAGCTCAGTATTGTCTACACTCCCTTTAAACAATGCCTAATAGATAACAGAAATTTTAGTTCAGTATTGCCATAGCGCCTTGAAACAATGCCTTAAGGATACCAATAACAGATCAATTTATTACCTTATAATAGATTCACGACTACGCCCGAAATATGAGTTCACCAATTAATTGCCTGTTCGCAGTTCTTATACTTTAATTTTACTTTTGCCTCCAGTTGCTGAGCCTGTTACTTCCTGCCCTTTTTGCACTTTAAATTCAAGCTATAACACTTTACATTGAAGCTACCCCGCACTTTGAATTCAAGCCAAGAGGCACTTTAAATTCCAGCCACTCAGCACTTTAATTCCAGCTGCCAAGCACTTTTTAATTCGCCAGAAACAATTTAAATTCCAACCAAGCCCTTTAAATTTTAGCCACAGAGGCCTTCAAACTCCAGCCCCTAAGCACTATGAATTCCAGCCCCTGAGCTCGTTATGACCCTGCTTTAATTTAAATGAATGTATTGACTTGCTGCGAATAATATTGACTCAACCAAAGTTGTCAGTTCAATCAAATGATCGCGCTTTGATTAACTGTCAAATAATTAGCGCTGTTAATCATCCACTGCTTAAGCTTGAAAAGAACCCTATCAGCATGCCTCACTTGAAATGGCTGCAGGAGCTTTGCCATGTGGTGCACCTCCAAGATGGCGACAGCTGCCGTAACCACGGCAACAGTAAACAACTTGCCGCCCCACAAAGAGGGGCCGTTGTAGGCAGGTACAGGAGCTGGGGGGGGGGGGTTGTACACGCTATCTGACTAATAAACATAGCCTGGTTCGCCTGATGCCAGAAAGGAGCACACGAGCGACAAGCCGCGGTAACCAGCTTTGTCGACCGCCCTGCCTGGGATACCGATTACAGGCACATAAAAGAAGGGGGGAGGGAAGCCGCGTGTGCAGTGGGTTTAAGGAAAGGAAAGGCAAAACTCCCCTATCCGCTGAATAGCAAACTTTATAAGGTGTTCTCCGAAACTTGTTGCGGCCCCTGAGTACCCAACACCCCCAAACCTGGTTACGTTACCAGCCACCTAGGGGGATCCACGAAGGTGAGGACTCGTCAGCTCTCCGCCCCTCATTGCGATCTGCTTCCTTCTGCGCCCGATGGTTTTTGCCCACCACGGCCAAGAGTTCCAAGCTGAGGCTGGAAATAGTGATTTCTCCCCACAAACGTGCCCGCTGTTCTTATCCACGCTCCAAGATCCAGCTAAACTCCTCCAAACGCCACAACAAAGGCTACAGATGTGCACTCCCCAGCCCCTTGCCGCTGAAAGACCCAGCGTCTCCGCAGGCAAAAAGCAACCTAGTGATTTCAGCTCTGACCCAAGACCGAGGTCCCGCGAGTGATTCCAGCTCAGGGTAGCAGCACGGCATAGCGAGAGAGGAAGGAACAAACAGAACGGGGTGATGATGATCCTAAACCAGCGAAGCTGAAGCAGCCAAAGAGGAAGATCCCCGGCCACGCTGGGGCTAAATAGCCGCAGGCCACTCCCCCTAGGCCAGCCGATTGGCTGGCCAGGGTATGACGCAGCTGGGGATTCCCTCAATCACATGGAGGCTGAGGTCCAGCCCCCATGCACATGGAGAGGGCGTGAAGCCCGCAACCCCACCTCCTCTCTAGTTCGGAAGTGGCTCTATGGGGGTAAAGTGGGACTTATCTGCAGAAAGGATTCAGCATATCACCTGTATGGGAGATGCTTTTCCTCACTGCAGGGGTAGAGGAAAAGGGTGTTTGTGCAATATAATTCTGACAAGATACATCTTGGCTGGCAAAACAGCTGAACTGGCAGAGTATTCTGCCAGCATATCGGGGCAGTTCTGCTGGTATATTTTTTCATGCCAGCTGTTTATCTCAACTTCCACTAGCATAGTGGAGTTCGTGCACACATTTTTTAACATGTAGATATTTTGCTTGGGGCTCATCAGCTTTACCATGGTAGACAGGTGCTCTCAATATTCAAATAGACTCAGCAAAGATTTTTCAAAGATTAAGTATTTGGCAAAAGATTAAACAAACCTTCTTTTCCATATGCAAATACAGTTGAAATATGAATAGCAGACAGGGATTTATACATATAGATAGATAGACGAATTTTGGGCACAGAAATGTAATAAGATTGTCCTTGCAGTTGATATTTAAAAGTATTTGGATGAAATTCTTGGGAAACTATTCGTGTCTCTTTGATCTAATGATTTAACCCTAGTGAGCTATCATTCTGTTTTAGTTTGTAAACATCTTTGTTCATAGATGGCTATAGACAAAGTACAGAAGAGTTCTGTTGAAGAAATTGCTTTCATATCACCTTTACCAAAGAAGATATATGGGGAGGAAATAGTAATCAGAAGGTGAGTGTTGCTGAATATTTAGATATTTAAAGTATTTTCCCCTGGATTATAAGGTTCCCAAAACAGGTTATAATTCATAATATTCAAACAATCGTTTGATAAAGTGTCACAAAATTTAAGAATCAACATACCAATAAGAACAGGTGCTGCAGAATTAACCATATGCCCCAGCATACCTGGAAAAAAGGAACAGTGTTTTAACCTGTTAGCTAACATACCATAACCACTGCTAGTTAGTAGAACGGAAACAAAAATGGAGCATCAGCCATACCTTCCATGCCCTCCAAAGTGCCAACCCTAAAGGACAAACTCCTTTGGTGCCACCCTTTGGATGGTGATACTTTGATGGTGACCCACTCACAGCAAGGCAATTGAACCATAGTTAAGACCATTAGAAATGCTTAATAACAGAGCATTAATATTCCGTGTGTGTGTTGTTGTTTTAGGTCAATCTACAGCTTTGAACAGGAGTTGGTAAAAATGTGATGATGTGTTTTGCTAAAGGCATTTCTAGTACACAATGCCAACTTTACTGTGCACCTTGCGATAAAATGCCTTTTACTCCACAGTTTTATCTTGGGAGGTTGTTGTTGCCTTCCTTATTGTGTTGGCATGTTTTGCTTTGCACTTTGTCTGTACTTGGAAGCTTGCCTAAGAGTTGGGTCAATTTGGAACAGAGGCAGAACTCTGTAGATGTGAAGTTCATTGTGATATTTCAGTGGCTGGCTGGGAGGGTCACAAGGATCCATGCAGGCAGTCGTCGTTGGCATCTCTCAAGAGACAAGGGAGTGCATCTCCAAAGGTGAAGTCAAACCGCTGGAGAATCACAGCACCCGCTGTGGCTGCAGAAACCAGTAACTCATAACTGCTGCCACCCACACTGTCCTTGCTACACTAGCAGCACCAAAGTGACCTTTCTGGGGCGCAGGTCTGAGAAGTGTGTATGGAGGTCCTGGGCTACCCAGATGATAATACTTTCAGACTCACTGATGTGGCTCAAAGGAAAGCAGAGCAATACATCTGGGACCAGCTTGGTTGCAGCAGTTGCTGGAAGGAG